GTGTGTGCGTGTGTGCACGTGTGTGTGCCTGCCTGCGTGTGCATGGGGGTCTGTGCACACGTGTGTGTGCGTGTGTGCACGTGTGTGTGCCTGCCTGCGTGTGCATGGGGGTCTGTGCACACGTGTGTGTGCGTGTGTGCACGTGTGTGTGCCTGCCTGCGTGTGCATGGGGGTCTGTGCACACGTGTGTGTGCGTGTGTGCGCATGTGTGTGTGCCTGCCTGCGTGTGCATGGGGGTCTGTGCACACGTGTGTGTGCGTGTGTGCGCATGTGTGTGTGCCTGCCTGCGTGTGCATGGGGGTCTGTGCACACGTGTGTGTGCGTGTGTGCGCATGTGTGTGTGCCTGCCTGCGTGTGCATGGGGGTCTGTGCACACGTGTGTGTGCGTGTGTGCACGTGTGTGTGCCTGCCTGCGTGTGCATGGGGGTCTGTGCACACGTGTGTGTGCGTGTGTGCACGTGTGTGTGCCTGCCTGCGTGTGCATGGGGGTCTGTGCACACGTGTGTGTGCGTGTGTGCACGTGTGTGTGCCTGCCTGCGTGTGCGCCCCACTGACTCCCAGTATGTGTGTGCCTGTGCGTGTGCGCACGTGTGTGCGTGTGTGCACGTGTGTGTGTGCATGTGTCTGCACATGTGTGTGGGTATGTGCACGTGTGTGTGTGCATGTGCACGTGTGTGCGCATGTGTGTGTGCCTGCCTGCGTGTGCGTGGGGGTCTGTGCACACGTGTGTGCACGTGTGTGTGTATGTGTCTGCACATATGTGTGGGCATGTGCACGTGTGTGTGTATGTGTCTGCACATATGTGTGGGCATGTGCACGTGTGTGTGTGCATGTGTCTGCACATGTGTGTGGGCATGTGCACGTGTGTGTGCACGTGTCTGCACGTGTGTGTGTGCATGTGCACGTGTGTGTGCATGTGTCTGCACATGTGTGCGCGTGTGCATGCATGAGTGCGTGTGTGTGCGTGTGTATGTGTGCATGTATGCGCACCTGTGTGCGCATGTGTGCATTTGTACATGTGTGTGCGTGTGTATGTGTTCATGCATGCACATGCGTGTGTGTGCATATGTGTGCATGTACGTGCACATGTTTATACACGTGTGCATGTGCACACGTGTGTGTGCGTGTGTGCACGTGTGCAAGCATGCATATGTGCGTGCACAAGTGTGCGCACGTGTGTGTACGACTCTGCATGTGTGCATGCACACGTGCCCAAGCGTGTGTGCGCGCGCAAGTGAGCGTGCACATGCATGTGCCCGTCTCAGTGCACATGTCAGCGTGCAACAGCTGTGTGTGTGTGCCCTGTGCCCGCGTGCCGCTGCAGGAGGCCCCGTGCCCACGCGTGTCAGTGGGAGGCCATGCGCACGAGCGTGCCGGGGCGGCGGGAGGCCACGTGCACATGCGTGGGCGCTGCACATGTGTCCCCTGGGTGCCGCGTGGCTCCGGCGTTAACCCCCACCTGCCCTGGCCCAAGCCCCGCCGGGTTGGGGGGGGACACGACAAGGGGGACGCCCTGCCCCCCTCTGCCCCCCAGCCCAGGGGGTCCCAGGGCCCCCCCCAGCCCAGCCCCCCCAGCCCCTGGCTGGCTGGCTGGACGGATGGATGGACAGACTGAGTCATCCTTGGCCCGGCAGCCCCGTCTCGTCCTCCCCGCCCGCCGGCCGTCCCCATCACC